CAGCAGGTGCGCCGCCAGGAGCGCGACAGAAAATTCCGGGAGGAAGAAGAGCTCCGCCAGGAAAGGGAGGAGGAGCTGCTGCGCCGCCAGGAGCGCGACCGAAGATTCCGCCGGGAACCTGAGCTCCGCCAGGAGCGGGAGGAGGAGCAGCTGCGCCAGGAGCGCGATCGTAGGTTCCGGGAGGAAGAAGAGCTGCGCCAGGAGCGGGAGGAGGAGCAGCTGCGCCAGGAGCGCGACCGTCAGTATCGGGCGGAGGAACAGTTTGCCAGGGAGAAGCGTCGTCAGGTGCCGGAATTGGGGCAACAAGAGCAGAGACGTCGCCAGGAGCGGGAGAGGAAATTCCGAGAAGAGCAGCTCCGCCGCCTGCAGGAGGAGGAGCAGAGGCGCCGCCAGGTCCGGGAGAGACGCGCCCAGGAGCCAGCCTCCCGCCCGTCGGTCGGCGCTCCCGTGCGCTCCAGCCCCCTCTACGAGTACATCCAGGAGCAGAGAGCTCAGTACCGCGCCTAAGCGAGGCCGCCGGCATCCCTGCCAAAGCTTCCAGCCAAAGAGAATGAGAAACACTGGGTACCAAGGAATGGCTCACGTGTTTCCGGTTGTGGGAAAACTCTCTGATGTTCGAATGCGCCTTTTCTTCCAAAATCTCGAGCTATGCTCATTTCATTGCTTTGTACTCCTACCTTTAATTCTGTCTCAGGTAGTTCTTTACTGCAAGATGTCTTTGTTCTTTGGTGCAGGTATGGTGTACATTTTTWAAAAACATGTCATTTAAATTGTTCACAGAGTTTTGTTTGAAGAACACATTGATTTGTTGCCTTTTAAAGTAACAATACAACAAGTTGAGACTCAAAATAATTGAGTATAGTTTTAATGGCTGATTAYCTCTGAGTGGTTTACATGTTTTTAAGGTTGATATATTTTTTCTTGTGCCTAAATTTCATTTATCTACTGCCAAATAACTTACTGGGTTTTGATTTTTATTTTGGCATAATTAACACATGTTCCACAAGTTGCCTGAATTTTTGCAACCCTCAAATAAATCAGGGAGAGGAACTTTTGGCAGAAAAACTCGCTGTGAAATCAGCACCTATAACTAAAAGAGATATCTGTTAAGAATTTAAGTGTAGAATTTGGAATTAGATTTTTTTAAAAAAAAATATACTTAATGCTACTTAAAACCTCAGGAAGCAAAAGCAATGTGTTTATCAAACTTCATAGCTCTAATTTTGAAGCTATATCTGCTGTAGTTTGTAGTGCTCAGTTCTGTTCCCCCAATGATGAATTTGAGAGTATTGCTATTTTTTTGTTAATGTTAGGTTAGAGGAAACTTACTCAGGATCCTATAAGTTTGTCTTGCTCTAGGGCCAATAGATGACAGAGAGCATGTTGGGAAAGGAAAGAGGGAAGTGTGTGAATAGAGAGGCAAATTTCTAGAGGCCCTTTGAGAAGACTTATCCCCAATCCTTTGAGGCCTGATACTACTTTGGAGACATTCTGTTGAAATAATTGGACTGTATAAAAATTTAATAAATGTTTGGCAAATACTTATTTTTGTCTGTTTTCACTCTGTTGTACCTCACTGTCCAATAACCTAGAARTGCATAAGTTCCCAATCACCACAATGTTACTATCATCTATGTACAAATATGAAAAGGGGAGAGGAAAACCACCTTTGCTCCATTTTTTCCAGTTAGAGTGAACCCTATATTATGGCTAACCCCACTGGGGTTCTTTTTGCAAGTGTGTGCTCTGTGTGTGTGTGTGTGTGTGTGTGTGTGTGTGTGTGGTTGTTGTTGTTGTTAACCATACAGCTTTCTGTGCCCCTTATTATAGTGACTCACTCTGGTCATGGAAAATACTGGTGCTCCCACTGTTTGTTAATATTTCCTTCTGAGAATGCAGCGGGTTCTTGGTCTCTAATGTCTGACAAGCCAACAGTAAAACATGGCATGAAACTTCAGATAGCACTATAGATCAAAGATGACCTTTTGATTTGAGTACATAATCCATGAGACAATTGAGCCAGAAGATGCTAAACAGTAATCAGGCCAAAGTATTAAACTGCATCAACCACCTGGAATCTATATTAGTACTCATCACTTGGAAACCACATCATTTGTAATTATGAGGGTCATGGATAAGAAGATGCCCTAAGTTATAGTCCATCAACATTTTGGTCAGTGGTATAGACAAGGAAGCTAAGCACATAGCTCCTAAGTACCATTCTGATGGAAGAGGGGGGGCACTTTCTGCAAGAAACACAGCCTGTCTCTCTTACTTTGAGGCAAACATAAGATACCCACCAAAGACAAAACCAAGGAATTCCTGACACTGTCTTAGAATTTTGAGTCTTTCAAATGATTTATGAGTACAAAGCTATTTTTCTTCTAAATTAAGTGTATACTCTTTCCTCAAAGTCTTCACAGAAACCATGTAAGAGCTTCACTAGCTTTCCCAATATCTTCTTAAGGAGCACCAGTTGGAGTGCTTCCTTATGAATGCCCAGCCCAGGATAATACTGAAATATGCATTAAACAGAGCCCTTCCGACTTCTTAAAGCACTTTACAAGATGAGAAAGACATTTTATTACAGTTTTAATAACATAGTTTTTAAAAAACAGTAACATCCAAACCATGCCCTCTAGCTGCTCTTTTAGCACATTGGCAGGAAAACTTGGAGGACAACCAGGCTCCACCTGAATAATAAATGCGTGGGCAGGACCTTCAGACTGCTGGGCCATTACCCTCTTAATTACAAACTGGGAGCTCTCTTAACGTGTTGGCTACTGCTAGGGTGTTGTGTGGAGGGTTTACTATGCTGTGATGACAGGCCATCTCCCTGTGTGGTGAACTGAATTGTGGCCCTGCACCCCCACCCCAGGTTTATATGTGGAAGCCCTAACCCTCAGTAACTCAGAATGTACCCAAATTTGTAGATACAGCATATGAAGAGGTAATTAAATGAGGTTGTTAGGTTCCATCCTAATCCAATATACCTGCTTCTCTTACATTAGGAGGAAATTTGAATACAAAGGGATGATGTGAAGACAAAGGGAGAAGGTGGCCACCTAAAGCCAAGGATAAAGGCCAAAAACCGATCCTTTCCTTACGTTCCTCAGGAGAAACCAACCTGGCTGACTCCTGGATCTTAGACTTCAAGTTCCCAGAACTGTAAGAAAATAAGTTTCTCTTGTTAAAGACACCAACTTTGTTATGACAGGCCTGGCAAACTAACACGTCATGTAAGGGGGTGTGGTGGTGCTAGGCACGCCTAGCTGTACACGGATGATACTTACCCTTTGCCCTTGTGCAAGCAGGTCCTGGTTGTTTAAAGACACTCTTTTATTWAACCTTCCATAGTTTCTATGGTTCAATGGAAAGAATGCTAAAAGAAAAGTTCAAAACTTGGTATTTAGTCATTCATTTATTCCTTCAAGAAATATCTACTGCGCTCCTGCTATTGCCAGACATTGCTCCAGGAAGTATCTAGGTAGTGTGGAGGTGGGGTGCTGGCCTTTCCCTGCACTGCCCGTGTGGCCTTCCTGGGGCCCTTTGGCTTTCTAGGTCTCCATTGTTGTTTCATTTATGAAGCTGAAATAGTTATCATCAAGGTTATTCCCAGGACTGGAAAAAAAAAATCAATTCAATATTCAGCTTTCTCAACTGAAACTCTGAAAACAACTGGAATAGTTTTCATCCCAACTTCTAGCTTTAGCTAATAGAAACCAGAAAAAAAAAGAATTAACTGACAAAATGATCATCAGAGCCAAATTCAGCTTCAAAGCTCTTACCTTTCTAGCCAACCATCCCTGCACTTCTCTCCACCTGTCTCCTAAAATCCTTCCCAGGTCTCTTTTTATTGTCCCAGGTTTATTCATTGATGGAGAAGACCCTAAGCCCACTCCACTTTCTTTGACCCCAATAGTATCAAACATCAATGCCCTTCTGATTTATGAGCTCCACATATGAATTTGATTCTTCTCATGCTTTTCTAAGGAGAACTCAAGTAAGTCCTAGAATTTAATCCCGCTCATGCTAAAATTCAGTGATCATTAGTGTTAAATATGATTCTCTCTCTGCTCCATCTTCTGTACTAATTACATATTACTAACATTTGCATTCAGTCATGATAATTATGAGGTTTTTTTTTCAGCAAGTGTACTGGGGCTGTAATCTGCAGATTATAATCTGTGCAATATGTAATAAGCATATTTCCCTTGTTAAAGAGATGACAGTCACATGCAAYAATCAGAAACGAAATCAAAAGATAGATTTATGAGTAGGCTACCATTTTCTGAACACTCAGAACAGCTACGGCAAGCTCTCAACAGAAACTTCTAGAAATTGATTTGTCACTTCTCCTCTTTCAAAAAAGGGCATGACATTTTCTACAAGATGAAGTTCAACATCTTCAATTTGGAATTTAAGAGCCTCTACAATCTAGTGTCAATTTACCTTCTAAACCTTGGATCCCAGGATACCTCTGGAGCCAACCATGTGCTCAAAGCAGACTGGTTGATTTATTGTCATTAGGACATCTTATGAATGTCTTATTTCAAAGACTTATTGGTATAATTTTATCTATTTGGAATGCCTTCTCTCTTTCCATCAACTGAGGCATTTCTGCTCAGTTTATAAGGCCCAGGTTGAATACCACATCCTCCCTAAAATCTTTCCTARTCACCCTGATGTACAATGATATCTCTCATTGAGATCCTAGGACATCCATTATCTTTACCAATCATTACTTGATTACAATTTTCTGCCTTAGTTGACTTTGTACTGGCTTCAGTCTTTGCAATCACACCACAAACTCTTTGAAAACAGAAACTACAACTTGGATGTTTTATATTTTCTTTCCATGATGAATTATAAGAAATATAGCTCTATGAATTTAAAAAAAAATTTAAAAATTTGCCTAGGATTTCTAAAGTTCTTAGTTACAATGAAGCCCTCCTAACTTCACACTACTGGCTCAAGGAGTTTTGAAAATTACATGCATACTGTAAGTATTCAATAGATGTGTGTGAAATGAATGAATTAATGTAAGCTGTAAGTTTGTTTTCTGTTCAGGGCCTCTACTGTCAATCTATGAAATGTGGTATTCTGCTCTTCTGAATGTTGAAACCCTAAATCCTTTTTTATTTTTTATTTTATTTTATTTTTTTAAGCTTTTCCTAAATCCTTTTTTATATCTTAACCTCAGGCATTACAGAATATTCGTGATTCCTTCTCCTTCTACCTATTTGGGTTTTTCCTGAGTATCATTGCAGTGAGCTCTGATCTTAGCACCTGTATCCCTTGGGGAGCTAAGAAGCTGGGATAGGAGCTGGGTGTTGTTGTGCRTGCCTATAATCCTTGTGATTTGGGAGGCTGAGGGAGAAGAATTGCAAGTTTGAGGACAACCTCAGCAACTTAGCAAGACCCTGTCTCAAATTTTAAAAGAGGGATGGGAGATGGGGGTTGTAGTTTGGTGTTAAAATACCCTGGGTTCTACCCCTAGTACAAAA